TCCATGGAAGAGACATGAGTTGGGCCCTAGACATGGGAAGACAACATATCAAAAGGATATTCATCCATGGAAGAGACATGAGTTGGGCCCCAGACATGGGAAGACAACTCATGTCGCGTAACAAATAAGAATATTCATCCATGGAAAAGACATGAGTTGGGCCCTAGACATGGGAAGACAACATATCAAAAGGATGAGTACTTGAAAAACTAGAATCACCAAAAGAAAGTTTGTGAATTTTGTCGCCAAACACGAATTACAATGAGAAATCAACCTACAAAGAGTGAGGAAGAGAGTGGACACGAAGAAGACATAACAATGACTTGGTGGATGGATGACCTAAATGACGATGTTGGGAGTCAGGCGACTGGCGAGTGGTAACCAAGCCAACACAAATTGCTCAAGATCCATCAAGAATATCATGAGTGTCACCTTTGTTCCTTCTTGTTAGACATGGGATGGGGTTAGGGGTGGGCATTTGGTCGGTTTGGTTCAAACCGAACCAAAATAATGCATACCGGGTCCCCGAACTCCATCAAACCTCAAACCGAATTTGAACCGAATTATAATTCGGTTCGGTCAATTCAAACCGCATTATAATTCGGTTCGGTTTGGTTTTTTCTTACAAAACCGAACTTGTGAGGTTAGCTTGTATCTTCTCTCTTTTAAATTATTTTTCACCCCTAATGTAAATAATAAATATGCAGTTATATGCATCATCAATGATAAAATCAAACATTTCAACACATAAGTCATAAAACACTAACATAATTCAAATATTTAAGTCTCATAATAAGCACAAACATAAAAATCCACCATTTGGAGCTTACAATTATAGTAATTCGGTTCAAAATTCTGAAATTCGGTTCGGTCGAAAGGACCCTAGTTTCCGAAACATGCCCTTCTCCCTTTCGAATTCCGAACAGAATAACATTAAATCGATTTCGATTTCGATTTATATTTGGTTCGGTTCGGTTCGGTTCGGTTCGGTAAGAAAAAACCGAACTTGTGAGGTTAGCTTGTATCTTCTCTCTTTTAAATTATTTTTCACCCCTAATGTAAATAATAAATATGCAGTTATATGCATCATCAATGATAAAATCAAACGTTTCAACACATAAGTCATAAAACACTAACATAATTCAAATATTTAAGTCTCATAATAAGCACAAACATAAAAATCCACCATTTGGAGCTTACAATTATAGTAATTCGGTTCAAAATTCTGAAATTCGGTTCGGTCGAAAGGACCCTAGTTTCCGAAACATGCCCTTCTCCCTTTCGAATTCCGAACAGAATAACATTAAATCGATTTCGATTTTGATTTATATTTGGTTCAGTTGGGTTCGGTTCGGTAAGAAAAAACCGAACTTGTGAGGTTAGCTTGTATCTTCTCTCTTTTAAATTATTTTTCACCCCTAATGTAAATAATAAATATGCAGTTATATGCATCATCAATGATAAAATCAAACATTTCAACACATAAGTCATAAAACACTAACATAATTCTAATATTTAAGTCTCATAATAAGCACAAACATAAAAATCCACCATTTGGAGCTTACAATTATAGTAATTCGGTTCAAAATTTTGAAATTTGGTTCGGTCGAAAGGACCCTAGTTTCCGAAACATGCCCTTCTCCCTTTCGAATTCCGAACAGAATAACATTAAATCGATTTCGATTTTGATTTATATTTGGTTCGGTTGGATTCGGTTCGGTAAGAAAAAACCGAACTTGTGAGGTTAGCTTGTATCTTCTCTCTTTTAAATTATTTTTCACCCCTAATGTAAATAATAAATATGCAGTTATATGCATCATCAATGATAAAATCAAACATTTCAACACATAAGTCATAAAACACTAACATAATTCAAATATTTAAGTCTCATAATAAGCACAAACATAAAAATCCACCATTTGGAGCTTACAATTATAGTAATTCGGTTCAAAATTCTGAAATTCGGTTCGGTCGAAAGGACCCTAGTTTCCGAAACATGCCCTTCTCCCTTTCGAATTCCGAACAGAATAACATTAAATCGATTTCGGTTTCGATTTATATTTGGTTCGGTTGGGTTCGGTTCGGTAAGAAAAAACCGAACTTGTGAGGTTAGCTTGTATCTTCTCTCTTTTAAATTATTTTTCACCCCTAATGTAAATAATAAATATGCAATTATATGCATCATCAATGATAAAATCAAACATTTCAACACATAAGTCATAAAACACTAACATAATTCAAATATTTAAGTCTCATAATAAGCACAAACATAAAAATCCACCATTTGAAGCTTACAATTATAGTAATTTGGTTCAAAATTCTGAAATTCGGTTCGGTCGAAAGGACCCTAGTTTCCGAAACATGCCCTTCTCCCTTTCGAATTCCGAACAGAATAACATTAAATCGATTTTGGTTTCAATTTATATTTGGTTCGATTGGGTTCGGTTCGGTGTTACCGAACCGTATGCCCACCCCCGGCAGCAGATAGGGTCAGTAACCACTTGGTTACTGACATGTCAGTAATGAATAGGGACCATAGATCTAAGAGGTAGGCAATCATGTGGTTGGGCCGGACGCTGAGTGGGGAAGGGTATTTTTGTCCGTTTATACATTAAATTCTTTATTTTATTTTATTTCGTATTTAATGGCTGCACTTTTAAGGAAGGAAAGAGAAATCACTTCTCTGCAACTTTTTATCTTCCTTCTCTCTTCCTTTTTCTCTCCCAATCTCTTTTCCAGATCCTCTCTCTTTCTCTCTTCCCTTTTCGCTCTCAATCTCATTTTTGATATTACCACACTATACCATATGGTAATGTATGGTATTGTGTGGTAACTAATTATATATTGATATTACCACACTATACCATATGATATTGTATGGTATTGTGTAATATTACCACACTATACCATATGGTATTGGGTGGTAACGAAATATATATTGATATTACCACATTATACCATATGGTATTGGGTGGTAACGAAATATATATTGATATTACCACACTATACCATATGGTATTGGGTGGTAACGTAATATATATTGATATTACCATATTATACCATATGGTATTGGGTGGTAACGAAATATATATTGATATTACCACACTATACCATATGGTATTGGGTGGTAACGTCATATATATTGATGTGTTAAATTTTTTTCATACCATATGGAATGGTCAATACCAGTCAATACCATATGGTATGGTCAATACCAGTCAATACCATATGGTATGGTCAATACCAGTCAATACCATATGGTATAGACTGGTAATAACTGACAAATTTTTTTATGTCCAAAAAATATCAAAGTGGATATCATTTTGAAGAGCACAATTAATCTGATCTAAGTGTGCAAAAAAAATTAAATTTCGACTTAAAACGAGTGAGAAATCGTCCGTTAACGATTAAGGGAAGGAAAATTAAATGTTTTGCGAGGAGAGAGAAGGCGCTGATGTGATCCGGTCAAAAGTCAGCCTCAAGCAATAAATAGGAGAAAATGTCATTTTACTATACTGCCCTTTTCACATTTAATTTAAATATAAAAGTGTCTGACACGTGGGGACCATAAAAGGGGTTACTGATTGGTTACTGACCCGATCTGGACCCCCACCCCCTAGCTGGGGTGACCATTGACTACCTACTCATGTTCTCATGTGGGGTTTCTTTTTCTGGGGAAACCAACCAAACTGCAGATGTAATCTCCGACCCCCCCTACTGCCCACCATTGTTATCAATTCTCCACACGAGTTCCCTCCATTTAACATTGTTTATGTACAATTGCTATAACCCGATTCCACAATAGTATTTGGCTAAGGATGTTTTAGGATCATTCAATAGTCGTTATGACGCATCTATACTCAACATAAAGATAAAATACAAATCACTGTGTACATAAATAACATGGATTCTCATGATAGCTAGAATGTGTTTGAAGTACAATTAACTTGTTGATTTGAGCACCAAACCAATAAGTAATAAGTTTGTGCTTAATAATGCATGTTGAGTGACAAACTAAACACCAATATCCAAAACGTTATCACAACAATATCCAAAGTGTTAAAAATACAACCATCGCTTAAAAGTGTTTGCTTCATCATACTACATTTATCATGAATCATTAGGAAAACTCCATAGCCGATCTTCAAGGAAGTTGGCTTGAAGAAGTTATTAAGCGAGAGGAGCATTCTCTTGGTGTGCTACATTCGTCTTTTGGACAAGCCCCTGACAAGGTTTATACAACTGATAGAAGAAAATCATGCATGCATTCCCCATTAACAAAGATTTTGAAGATGAAACCCAACAAAAAGTCTATGACTAATTATGAAACAAACTAAGTTGCTATAATTTAATTCTTTAGTTATAATCACACATAATCTAGCCCTCATTAGAGTAATCCCATATCTGTGAATATAGAAAAGAAAAGGACACCATAGACTTGCCACCCAAGGTTATATATTTGGTATTAGTAACTTCTTTTAGGCCACGCAATTCCCATATTTGATCCCTTGCTTTAGTTCTTTGTTTAACCAATTTTTGTGAAAAATATATATATTTATATTATTATTATCTATTTTTAGGAAAAGACATATTACAGCAACAAAAGTACATCGAATTATCCGGAGTCAGTAAATACAGTAATACGACCTGCAACCCGTTGATGCTATTTTTTCAAACTTCAAAACACAAACGTGCAGTTAATTAACCATCAGTAAATTACCAAAATGGACAAAGGGTAAAACGTTGAAAACCCCTAAACTACATAAACTGACATCGTTTTGGAGGGTATGCGTCGGAAGAAATCAATCTCACGGCGTCGTTTTGATTACGTGGGCCGCAAAAAAATATCCGAACGGATGTGTCCAAAATAAAATGACTTAACTGAACGTGCAAAAGCTGTAAGGCGGTAAGGCACCCGTGTAGATTGTGGCCAAACGAGGGGCACATTGGGAATTGACTCCCTATATAAACAAAAAGCTGGTACGGGGCGTGGCGTAGTTGGTAATTCGGAGAGTATTGTTTTCTGTTCTGTGAAATTAGACGAGCGAGCGGAGGAGAAGAGTTTCCGTTATCCTTTCTCTCTCTACTGAAAACCAGTTTTCCCCTTTCTTTCCTCTCTCTAGAAAAATTCCCGGATTGAAATCTTATCGCCCCTGAACCAGAAACGAATTAGGGTTTTGCCGTATATCCTTTATCGAATCCTAACCAATCTCTTCTTCAACGATTTCCGTATTCTCTCCTTAGCAGCAGCGAGCCATGGTGTCCGATTCAATCACCTCCAACGCCTCCATTCCTTCCGCCCCGAAGGATTTCGGGAAGAAGAAGAGGGTGAGTGATCAATCCCTGATCTTTTCTTCTATTTCCAATTGCTTTCCTCGTTGCTCTGTTTCCACACAAGCAAATTCGTTTCCTGTTTTCTGCAATTCCGTATTTTTTATTCCTCCCGTCATTGATTTTTGTATCGTTAATTTGTTTTGTGGCATTAGGCCAATAGGTCCGCCAGATTGAAGCAGTGTAAGCTTGATGCACGACGCGAGCAATGGCTTTCTCAAGGTTCGCCCTCTCGACATTCTTGATTTTCTCGTCTTTCGCATGAGAAATGCGTGAAATATTTTTCTTGCTTAGGAGAAAGTCGGCAACTTTTCATGATGATTTAGTTTCTTTTGTGGGAAATTTTGTCACTCTTCATGAGGATTTAGTTTCCTGATGGTGTAGAGTTTGGGTTTATGTTGATAGGTACGGGAAAGAGCAAGGGAAGCCAGGAGCAGAAGATCTCTCCTCGTGCTTCTCCACCTCCTCTTTCCCCTTGCAAGAACAAAAAGAAGAAGAAGAACCTGCTGGAGAAGTTGGAGACCAGGGGAAGAGTGGTGGGTGAAGAGGAGAACGAGAATGAGAATGACACTATAAACCATCATCATAACCACCACCATCACGACTTTGATACTGATTCACCTTCAAGTAGCCCCATTAGCAACAGTAGTGTGCTCGGGGTTACTGATTCAGGCACAAATTTCACTGCTTCCTCCAGTTGCAGCGGAAGCAGTAGTGGGGGTTCTTGCTCTGGCAATGTAACCGAAGATGAGGAAGAGGAGGAAGGGGATGATGAAGATGATAATTGCTTGGATGATTGGGAGGCTATGGCGGATGCTTTAGCAGCAAATGAGGATGCTAAAGAGGAGAAGAGCCCAAATGACGATCCCCATTTGGATTCAGTGTCACCTCATGAGCACGAGCCTGCAATCCAATCACATTGTTTAGGCTCCAATGTCAACTTGCGACCAGCATGCCCTCGAGCTACTCCTCCAAGAACGGTGTCATGCAACACTCGGGCCTGGAGACCAGATGATGCATTCCGGCCACAGACTCTACCTACATTGGCGAAGCAGAGAAGCTTTCCTCATACAAACAGACCCTATGGTCAGGGTGGGCTCCCTTGGGCCAAATCTCTTAACACGCCTTCCAGCTGTCCTATATGTTGTGAAGATTTGGACCCCACAGACTCCAGTTTCTCGCCCTGTGCTTGCGGGTTTCGGCTTTGTTTGTTTTGTCACAAGAGGATTCTTGAAGAGGATGGTCGTTGTCCTAGCTGTAGGGAGCCTTACCAGCAGGAGCACAACAAAGTAGAGGCGGAGGCATGTGTACATGGGGGTAGCCTTACTCTAAGGTTGGCTCGCTCCTGTAGCATGAGGTCCTAAGCCAGCAGAGAAAGTAGATTGGTGATCCCAAATTTGTGTATGTTGCATCTAAGCTGTCTCCTTTCTTTTTGTCATGCCTGTCACTTGCTTCTACTTAATCTCTCCAATTTCGTAGAATCTAGATATGCGGACATAAGTGGTTTATGTTTCCCATTTGGCACCCCAGGAATTTGAGCTAGTTCTGCAAGGTCCGGTTCTTGTCGTATATGGTGCGTATGAGTACTACTGTAGAGGATTCAAGTATGGTAATGTGAATAGAGAGATGGTATAGAAACAATACATAAAAAGATGATTTTGACATGTCTAGCTCTGCATCCGTTGTGTGCTCTGTGGAACGTATATTACGTTTGTTATATACTTATCCTCGTGGTTATGGCTTGTTCTTAATATTGCCTGCAGTGTGTTGTGCAAATAAAATGCTTTTATAGTACACTTGGTTTGTCTTCCAAATTGCCCTTTTCTGTTCCTTTTCACTTCAGTTGTTTCTGTCATATATCTGGTGCATAATTTGTCCTTCTGTAAGCTTATTTAGGCTATTATACGCTCCCCTTTCCTCTAATGCTGCAGAAGGCAGCACAGCTTAGAGCATTATTTTGTTCTTATTTGCCTTGCATGTTTATTTTGGGGGTCGATACTTGAGTAAAAATCTACGCCAATATTTTTTAGTTCTTTTCCTTCACTATTTTTGCGTTCTCTAATTGGTTTATGGCAACTTTGAGCGAGCTCTGTGGTTATGGAGCTTTCTCGATGGTCATTTGACAACTAAGGCCCGTTATCCGTGGGAATACTAATAAGGTAGCTTCTGCTTTCATTATTTTGGTACTTTGGACACGTTTATGGGGTTATGTATCTAAAATGAAAGGAGCATCAATGATTGTTTTGACTGTTATGCATTTATTTTGCTGTCCGTGCTGGGAATAACTCCCTCACTCCATACACCCCTTTCCTTACAGATCCAGTATCAGGACTTTGTTCACTTTGTTCCTCATCTCATGTCATCTGCAGCTTGGATGGTAGTTTGTACTGAAGGAAGTCCTATGTAGGTGGCATGAAACCCGCATAAATATCAACTAACCGTAGGCAAGTGTTCACTTAGTGTTGTACATACCCAGTACCCACCTGTTGGGTATTCATTGTTGAGTTGCAATCTAGACCAAAACGGGAATGAAGGTTCAATAATTTGCATCTCACGTCATCTTCAGCATCTTCCAGGCTTATCCCTGGTTTATATATGTATAATGGAATCTTATGAATGCTTGACTCTAATATGTGAGTCTGTTGATCTATCTTGTGGGTAGCACTCAAATCTGGTTTAAATGTCTCTTTTCTTTCTTATTAGTAATCGCCAAGCGGGTTGATGCATTAGTTTCGCTTCATTTGGCGATTGATGCAGCAATGTAGACGGTCTGTATCTTCCCTCCGTCGCTGCCCAGTTTTGGGTTTCTGTGATTCTGTGGGTTGCCAAGGAAACTATATGATTTTTTAGATGGAAAAAGCTGTTAGCTGAAGTGATTCCTACTCGCTTCTCTGTCCCCTGCATCTGCATGTGAGGAGATATGAGGTTGCATCTCATTTGTAGGAAACTGTCATTGCACTTGCCTTGTGAGTCTGAAACTGTGAACTGGCATCGAAAGCTGGGTAGCTTTGTGATCTTCTTTTGTGTTGCTGGCAACTGTCATGCGTGCGGTGTGCATTGATTTCACAGTTCACTCGGTTTGCCTTGTTTATGGGTTGCGAATATGCTGATAGTGCCATGTGGTTTGGTTTTTCCTTTCTGGGATACCAGCAGCTTCGTACTATGTTGCTTTGATTCTCACGACATCAAGCAGTAGTCCAATTCTCGTTTTTTTTTATCTTTCTCTTTCTTTGGGATGGAACACACTTGCGTCAGATGACCAGAATCTAGAGAGTTCATTTGGGTGCTCAAAAAGGGTTACCGTTTACTTTTATCTGAGTTTGGTGAAAATGATGATCCGGGATATATGGCTTGATCTGAAGATGATTGTCTGTCTGTGCAAGGGAAAAGGATTTTCAGTTGAAAGCTCAGTATTTCTTTGATGTCAGGGAGATAGAAATGAAATGCATGAACCATTTGGTGAAAGGTGAATAAAGTGAACTTTCTATAGAAACTCCCCAATCCACCACGGTCGGTTGGATAAGTTAGTCGTGCAATCGGCCCATCATATTAAAGATCAGACAGGATAAGTTGTTTATAAACCATATTAGTGGTACAATTATGGGGAGGGATGGTAATGAGACAGGTTTGGTGTGGGTTTTGATTAGAGTGGTTACTCAATTGCATTTCTACATTTTATGTTCTTGAGTTACCCTCATTATTATTGATAGGTTACAATTTGATTCGCATATTTTTTTATATGTGAAAAAATGCTTTGGTAAGGCAGGTATGAGTATGGGTATGGGACGGGTGAGGCAAAAATCATGCTCGTCATATGCCCATTAAACTTTTTGTGGCTTTTACCCCCTACTTGTCACATACCCAGTCGCGGAATTTTTCGGGTTGATTGGATCAGGGCGATCGGATACTCACGACCATGAGTTTGATTGTCAATCTCTAATTATGGGTTAGTTTATAACATACTGAATTTATGATGTGATGTCAATCTTAAAGTAAACTAAAATAATGTGACCAAATAAGATTATGCTGGCAAATATAATTTGGAAATTATTTGGAGTGAGTGGTATTTTTATATAAACGATGGTATTTTTGGTAATTATTTGGAGTGTGTGGTATTTTTGTAATTTTTTTTAAACAGTAGTAGTTTTGGATTTTTTCCCTATTATTTTCCCATTTAAACTTAATTTTTAGTTATTGCTAATTATTAAAATTAGGTACTAAAACTTACCAAAAACCTCAAACAATCAATTATATTTGCAGTCATGAAAAGCCTCAAATGACATTGTGAAAAGAAGATTTCTTTGCATACAAAAGCTATGCAGCTTTTTCTTACCGTTTTCACTAAGCAATTTTGTGGGCTTTGTAATTGGGCCAAATAACAAAGATGATTGTCGGCAAAGTAAAAATAGAAAGAAAGTGCATTTTCTGGCTAAGATTGGTTGGCGGATTCTGAATGACCCTTCCTCTCTTCTTGTCCAGGTGTACAAAGAAAAGTATTTCTCCAATGGGAGCTTCCTCGAGGCAACAACTCGTTCTCGCCCTTCTTGGGAGTGGCAAGGCATTCTGTTTGGCCAGAAGTTGTTGGAGACGGGGCTAAGATGCCAAATTGGGAATGGGCATGTGGCCCCGCTGCTTGGTACCAACTGGGTGCCTCGGTTACACCCAGAGTCTCATATTTTCAACCCTCGGGTCTTGCCAGAAAATGGGAGGCCTGTGGTGGCCGAGTTTATGCTCCCGGGAGGAGGCGGTTGGTGTGATGAGAAGCTTAACCAGTGGTTTGACCCTCCTACTTGTCGTGCTATTAAAGAAATTCCTCTCCCTCGCCAGGATGTTAAGGATCGCCTCGTTTGGCATGACACGGCTAATGGGATTTTTACGGTCAAATCGGCCTACCATTTGGCAGTTTTAATTGATATGAAAAAAGATGAGGGTAGGTGGCGAGCCCAGGTGAGCTAGATGGATGGATCTAGTTGGATTCGGTTGTGGAATGCTCCTATCCCTCCTAAGCTTCGGATTTTTTTGTGGCAAGTCTGTAATCGTCTCCTGCCTACGACAAAAGCTTTGATTGAGAAGGAGATCCCGGTCCACCCCCGGTGTCCGGTTTGTTGGGCTGAGTCGGAGACGATGGAGCATTTGTTCCTTGACTGTCCGGTGGCTAGGGCCCTTTGGGATTGCTCGGGGTTGGAGTACCTTGGCCAGGGTTTGCCCCGGGAAACGTTTCCTTTATTCCTCAAGAGGTTGCTCATGCTCCTTCCCCAGCCCTAGCTGTTTATGGCGGTTGTAGCCATCCTGTGGAGAATCTGGCGGTCCCGCAATTGGGTTGTCTTTGAGGGTAAGCAGTTCGGGATCCCAGCTCTTATGCTGCAGTTTAATCAACAATATCACGAATGGATCAATTTGCCCTTAGACAGGGGTCAGAGTAGGGGTGAACAAACATACCCACAAACCGACCCGCCCGTCCAACCAGACCCAACCCACCCGTATTTATCGCTAAATCGAAGGTTTTGGGTTGGGTGAGGGTTTTCTTTTGTACAACCCGCCTCTTTTGGGTTGGGTTTGTATTTTGGATTACACAACCCGTAGAACCCGACCCAACCCGTGTTCCAATTATTGGTATGAGTTCGTATCCAAAAAATATTTTATGTCGTATATAGTCATACTTATGAGAAAATTAAGATATTTCGCCATGTTTTTCTCTTAAAGTCTCACTAATCTAATACATTCTTCGACTTAAAGTTTAGACATATATTTAATATAGCTATGATTCACGTAATTTTTTTTTCTTGTGTACAATTTTAAAAGAATGTCATATTATGGATGCGTTCATTTGTAACCTTTTTAGCCTGTTTCAACAAATGTCGTGAAAAAACCTAGACATAAGTTGAAGTAAATCAAGTTTTATTAAAATTCAAACAATATTTGTGAATTTTGATACCTTTCACCTCGGTTTATTCGTTTGGATTTTTAATTTGTTATAAAATATTTTTATGATGTAGAAAAATTACATGTTTTGTGTTGAGTAGGGTTTTTACTTAAAATATCGCCAACCCGATTAGAAACAAACTGTAGGGTTTAGATTTTTTTGGGTGGGTTTGGGTTTAATATTTCCCAAACCGTAGTGCATGGGTCGGGTGATTAAAATGCCTAAACCCGGACCACCCGACCCATGTACACCCCTAGGTCAGAGTGCCCCGGTCCCAGCTGTGCAACCTACGGTTGAGGTCGGCCCTTGCCCGATTGTTTGCAAGTGGGATGGGGCTGTCAAGCGCGCGTCCCACGCGGCGGGTGGAATGGTGGTTATGAATGAGGCAGGGGAAGTTCTCCTGGCTAGAGGCTTCCAATTCGCAGGGATCGAGGATCCGTTGGTTGCGGAGGTACTTTCTCTTCGGGAGGCGATTATTGGGTGTAGAGCGGCTGGGCTTGTCGGGGTGCGTTTTGAAGGGGATGCTAAGGTGGTTATTGATAAGATCCACCAGTCTGATGTCATGGACAGTAAGATTGGATCTCTTCTTGAAGAAATTGTGCAATGCTTATCTCTCTCTACTGGCTCCAGTGTGCGTTTTGTAGGTCGACGTAGTAATAGGGTAGCCCATTTGGTGGCTAGAAAGGCCCTTCTTTTGTACCCGTCTGCAAGTTGCTTCTTTGATTTTCTGGCCTGGTTAAATTCCAGGATGTAACTATCGTTTTCTGATCAATATATGATTATCTTTTGTAAAAAAAATATGACTAATAGGCCCCTACTGAAAATTAAGGGAAAGGCAGGATTTTTTGAATCCTGTACACCTCTAGTGTTATATATTCTTTTGATGGTCATTATTTTCTTTCGGCAAAAGAGAAAGAAAAATATTTTCATTGAGAGTTGAATTAAAGACGTCCCGCTTACTAAACGACTGTTCTAACCAACTGAGCTATGAAAGTTTTGCAACCATTTTTCATGCTTGCATAAAACTTGGAGAGGTTGCATTTTAGGTCAAAGATAACTAGCATTTTTTGGGATTCAAGGAATGCACTTTTCCCTTTCTGAAAATAGGAGAGAAACCAAATAAAGGAAGAAAAACCATAAAGCAAGTGAGAAACAAAAAAGGATAAGAGTTGGTTTTGTGAGGTCTAAAGATAGTGTGTATACCCTTTGGTTACACATGTATGTATAACTAAATTTCGCCATTTGATTTTGAGGGTAGTCAGCTTTAACGTAAGAGAATAAATATTTTTTTACATTTTTCATATTATCTTTTTTAATAACATTTCATATTTTTTTTACATTTTTCATAGTTTTTAATTGCCTTGTATCTTCTTTATTCTAACTCAGATTTTTTTTTTTTTGCACAAGTAGGAGTTTATTGTGATATACAAAATGATATCTATTTTCAACATATTTAGAGAGATTGTTTTTCGTACCACCTATTACTACTCATTACTACCCTAATATCACCTAGAACCACTATGTACCAAACTCAAATGTTTAAAAGTTCACCAATGAGTGAACAGGTTCATGTTGATCTATTATAATCTATAATTTTTTTTTAAATAAATTCATGACCAAATGTACCACCTTGGT